GGCTGCCTGCTACAGGCTTGGGCTCCCCACCCTGCTGCCCTCCCTCAGGGCCTCTGCAACCCAGCAGGCGTGGCAGCACAGAGCAGGGCCAGGCAGAGAAGCTTGTTGAATCTGCTATGAGCCCCATGATGCCCTGGCAACATACCCACTACCAACCCTGGAGCAGCAGGGATGGTGATGCAGGGTTGTGCCCCTCAATTGTTTGGGGCGGCCAGGGGGCGCATCACCGGGGCAACACAGAGCTCATAGCAGCAGCATCAACCTTCCCCACTCAGTCCTGCTCTGCCCTGCTGTGGAGCCCCCAAGGGGAGAGCAACAGGGCAGGCAGCCCGAGCCTGCAGCCCACATCTGCCCCCGCACTGCACAGAGATCTGGGGAGCATGTACCCCTTTGTACCCTGGCAATGCACACAGTGGTGGGGAACTGCTCCACCCCCTGGATGAGCTGCCTGTGGACCCACCTTGCTTCCCGCTGGGACGCTGCAGCTGCACATTGCGGCCCTGGGTCCGAAGTCCCATATACGGCCCGGCTGGGCAGCAGCCTCAGTCCAATTCCCTCCCTATGGGGGCCCTATTCCCTCTGTCCTCCCAGCTTACCTGTGAGAGCTGCTCTCCAGGCTGCCTTGCAGCCGTGTGCATGTATCTGTTAATGGCGCCCCTTGCCTGACCGCCCTCCCTCCACTCCTCCCAGCCCCTTGCAGGCTGGAACTCTGCCAGCCCAGAGAGCTCTTTGCAAAAGAGCAAATTCGGCATGTTTCTTGGTTAAAATTAAAAATTTGCATTTCTCTCTAGTAAAAGGGAAACTGTTTTTTTTCTATTTTTCCATGGGTAATGGAAAACCCGGATCCCTGGTTATTATGCTACATATGCAATAGAAAAAAATTAAAAGGAGTGAGGTGAATTTAGACTAATGTACAGATGTAACTAATGAGTCACCAGAATCTGGACATAGTAGTACAAAAAGAAAAAATAACTGCATACAATTGCTAGATATTTGTATTAATCTAATACTTAAATATTAGTTTTATAATTGTTCCATGTACAGAACTGCCAAAATAAGACTAATTCTTCAATAATCTAACCAAGAACTAGTACAAGGTTCAAACTATAAGATAAAATTGTATAAACTGAACAGTGAAATAGCTTTCTTGCTCTGTGTTCATTAAAAGAACTAGGCAAAAAACCTGTTTTTCTTTCAAAAAACAGGTGGATATTTTTCTTGCTGCAGTCATTTGATCCCAACTGACTTCCTGCCTATGGCAGGGGGGGCTGGACTGGATCTCATGAGGTCCCTTCCAGCCCCTAATGTCTACGAGACAGTTTACTTTTTAATTTTAAAACAAATAATATATAAAACATTTCCTATTTTCCAAGAAACTGTAACAAGTGATCTTTTCCTGACTACTTATTATTACATAACTTACTCATCTCCAAACACCTGATGACTGTACTCTGGATTAAATGCTGTGTTATCATCCTCCAGGTCCTCAGGAAAACGAACTGAAAAGGAAAATTAGCAACATTTTAAGTAGTGAGTAGTTTTTCCACAAAAAATGCATGCATTTAAGATGCCACACCTGATGCACACCCAGCTCTCTCATAGCATGAGAACTCCATTCTACATATGAATAAGAAAAACACTAATAAATATAAGACGGCATCATTGAGCATCTCTTCATAATAACAATCTTATAAGCAGTATATAACACAATTAAAGAAAGAACAGTTTGGTTTACACAATCATTTATGCATATTATATATTCATAAGGGCATTAATTCAAGAGTTATTTTCATTAAGGAGTAGTTATAAAATGACAAAAGATGGAGAGCCATTCCTGCCATCTAACCACAGGCTGCTGCTGGCTGTTCATGATCAGCTTTTTCTCCTCTAAATGCTCGCTAATGGACTTCCTTATGATATGCTCCAGTAACTTTCTGGGTACAGAGGTGAGGCTAACCCATCTGTATTTGCCCAGGTCCTTATTTTTGCCTTTTTTAAAGAGGGGCACTCTGTTGGCACTCTTCTAGCCCTCTGGTACTTCACCTGTCTCCCAACTTCATAAGTATTATTGCCAAGGGCTCTGAGCTCTCCTCTGCCAGTTCCTTTAGTACCCTGGGAAGTTGATCAGGCCCTACTGACTAGAATTAATTCAGACCAATTAAAACCCCTCTGTTTCTACTGTTATCTCATCCCTCAGCTTGTCTCCTTTAGCCGCATAATCCTTATTAGGTGCCTGGTTGCAACTTAATTTTTTTGTGAAGACTGAGGCAAAGTAACTGTTGAACAGCTCCATTATCTTTGCATCTCCAATTAAGAGCTCACCCTAGCTATCTGAACAGTGTGGACCCACAGCTGCCTTGTTCTTTCTTTTCTGACTAACCTATTTATAGAACCTCTTCTTCTTGTTTTTACCTTCCTTTGCTAGGTGAAGCTCAGTTTTTTTGCTTTGCTATATTACTGTAAGATCTATATTTTTTATTATAAATTCTACCAGTTTTTCAGGAACAGAAACTAGATTTATCAGCTTGTAGTTTCCAGAGCAGTTCTGGATCTCTTTTTAAAGATTGGAGTGACACTGCCAAACTTCCAGCCCTCTGGTTCCAAGGCTGATTTTAACAATACATTACATACTATTGCTAATAGCTCTCCAACTCCATATTTCAATTCCTTACAAACTCTTGGGTGAGCACAATTTGTTGCGACTTCCCACTGTTCAGTTTATCAGCTTGTTCTAACAAAAACAACACATCTATTGTCACCTCAATCTAAACCAGTTCTTCAAATTTATCCCCTAAATGGAATAAATCTAGTGTGCAACTCTCCCTCTAATAATTCCTTCAGAGGATCTCTCACATCACCTCTCCAGCTTTCTGTACATCTGTTCTTGGTTTCCTTCTCTTTTCTCTATACAGTATAACCTCATAAACCAGATATCAAAAATTCTAGAATTCTCAAAAATCCAGCACTTTTTAAGCTGTCCCCTCCACTCCCCCAGATGCAGAGGGGGAAGCTTGCACATGTCAGCTGTTGTTGCCATCCACCACCCTGTGCTGCCGCTCCGTGTGTGGCTGCTGCTCTGGGACTGGCTGCCGCTCCTCCCTGGAACAAGGAGGGGGAAGCTTGCACATGATGGCTTCTGCTACCTGCCCCCTCAAACCGTTCCATGACCAGCCGCCACTCTGGTTTCAACAAACCAGTATTTTCACATTTCTGGCAGGTCCTAGGTCCCGAGCATGCCAGATTTATGAGGTTATACTGTATTTTACTCTGGGTAATCTCATTGAAAATAAATTCAGTCAGTGCTGCTATACAAATCAATCTTTCCTGGAACTGTGCCCTGTCCAAACTAAAATATTAACCTATCCTGATCATCTTCTCATAGATGATTAGCTGTGAAATCAACCACAACATGGCTAGAACATAGCCCCGATCACTCTGAAAAATACCATCATTTTGTTAGGAACAAGTGTCATTCAGGAACAAATCTAACACCCCCAGCCCCAAGTTGAAGGGGGGCAGGGGGGTGGCAGACTTGTTTTACATTTAAATAAATATGGTATTTGTCATCTTTCTCTCCCAACTGTATGCAAACATCTATTATACATTTCTCTTTTTAAAAACAGCCATGATGCCTCATTTAAACTAAAAATGTAAGAGATGTAGCTCTCAACATAAGCCTTACAATAGCAGTCTGGCAGCATCCTTAACTAGGCAAGTGTAGGTAAAGGCATTGGTGGTACATTTTATCAGTGCAAAAGTTATGCACATATGAAATGTGGTTTATTTTTACAATTTTTCCCCATTTCCTGACTTCATAGCTAAAACTCAAACTCACTCAGAAATAGGTCCCATTACTTCCACTCCCTTCCTTTAAAATATGCAGGAGGCAAGAGATTGTGAACCTAAACAAAACATTAAATCTCTTGTAAGACAAGACATTTTCAAGCAAGTCTATGAAATAAATACAGTACTTTCTTAATTGAAGAAAAATGGTTTCAGAAATATAATATTTAAGGCTTTAAACTACTTCGATTAGAATTCCATTTTGACTTACAAGATTTTAAAATCTGTAATATTATTAATCTAATTCAATTACAGCATGAGTCTTCTTATTAAACTCTGACTTAGAGGTTCAAAGAAGATTACCAAATAGCTCTTTACAGCTTGTTTAATTTTTTATTTCGAATTAAAATGCTCATTCCAAATGACATGCGATGTATTTTACCTTCTTGTGCTCCAAATAACAATACTTTGAAAAGCTTTTGGGGGCTCTGCAAATTCCTGCTCTTCTAAAATAAATAATATCTTTTAAACCTAAGGCCATCTCTTAGTATTTTACGCCACAAATTTGGCTATTTTTACCATGCCAGAGAAACACTGACCTACAGCAGAGGTGGCTGACCTGTGGAATGTGTGCCACAAAGGTTACAGGCAGCCCATGTGTCAGGCATGTAGCAGATCAGGGAGAAGGCAGGCAGCACAGCAGCAAAGCGGGCAGGGAACAGAAAGCAAAGTAGCAGTTTGGGCACAAGGGGATTAGAGTGGTACTCAGAGAGCTCATGACACTTAATTTGTGGCATGCCTGCCAAAAAGACTGGCTCTCTCTGGCCTTCAGTATGGAAATACTTAGCCAGATACGTATTACCAGGGATCCTGGTCTTCCCTGATAAATAAATTTAAAAAAAATCGCAAATTCTGATAAAAACCCCAAAATCTGTGATTCAAATGAAATGCCACTATATATACAGGTATCAACTGAACACAATATTCAATTATACTGATACCTACCAGGGCCTCAGTCACTAGAGGTGCACTGATAGAGATTTTTGGGGCCAATACCGATGGCCGATTTTTAAAGAGGCATATCAGCTGATACATACATGATATGCAGCCCAGCAGCTTGAAGAGCAGTGTCCGGCTGGTAAGTCTGCTGTGGTAGAAGGGGAGGGGGAAGGGAAAGGGTGTGGGCAGGGATGCAGATCAAGGCCCCTGTGGTGAGGGAGAGAGTGGGGCTGGGGCAGGGACTGCTTAGCCAGGGTAGGGCACTGGACGGAGCTGCAGTTCATCAGCAGGGTGCGGGAATGGGGAGGGTAGCTCCTGATGCTGCGTGAACCCTGGAAGGGCATGGGGGGCATGTGCCCCCTGGATCTGTGTGGGGCAGGGCAGGCTGCTGCTGTGGGCTGGGGCTGTGCCGGGCTCTTCCCAACAGGGGCTGGGCTCAGGGCAGTCGGCAGCAGTGCTGGGAGGGGAGGGGCTGCAGCCACCCCAAAATTAGCCGTAGCACCCCAACCCCCCTTCCAGTGCTGCCGCCCACCCTGCCCTGAGTGCACCCCAGCCCAGCCCTTTTGAAGAAGAGCCCAGTGCAGCCCCAGGCTCACCCTGCCCAGATCCAGGGCACATGCCCCCCATGCCCTCCTGAGATGCACACAGCATCGGGAGCTGCCCCCCCTTCCCATGCCCCCTGAATGAGCTGCAGCTCCATCCTGCAGCCCGCCCCAGCTGGGCAGTGCCTACCCCAGCCCCCACCTCACTCCCTCCCTCACT